TATTTCGATTGATTTCCGAACTCGTGTTTGGCGCCACAGAAACACCACTGAAACAATATAATGCACCAAGGAATGTTCTGGAGCACATTTGGCGGGGTTATTTTGATGGTATGGGTGCCTCTCACAGGCCCTTTACCCTGTGACGATCAGACAAAAATTTGAATGGTCAACGGTATATCACTGACATCCTGCTCAGTAGACAGGGCTCTTGTACCACATTTCGATGACCATCCTCTGAAAACTACATGAGTTTAAATGCTAGGCCACGCCCCGTTGGTGATTTAGTTCGTAAAGAAGCGGTAGGAACTCAACATTGACCGTATCGCAATGCCACAGAGAATGATTGGGACATAGTGGGATACAGAATGCACCAGAGTGACCCTCCAGTACAAAATCATGATGTATTTGGAGCAAGCCCTCCATCTAGAATGGAACACTAAATCTCAACGTCAAATTCAACGTCCGATACAGTCAACGAGGAGGAGGGTCAGGGATGATATTGCAGTTGACGGAAGTTTCACCAGATATTGACATTGTGTTTCGAATGTGATTGCATGATCATTGTATGCCATAATCTTGAAAATGTTTGATTCTATGATTAAACAATATTTTGTCATTCTTTTCCGTTGGGATTTGACATTTAAATATTCCCAGCTACAGGGAGTTATCCAGATAGTACGTTCATTTAAGGTAGGGATAAGTACTTATGTCATGGGTAACGGTAACCAAATGGTAACATAGGGAGACTTGAGATAATATTTTCGGTGTGTATATGTTGTTATACTTTATCTGGTAAAAAGTCATTAAACTAGATCCGTTGGACATCAATTCGAAGAAACTGAATTATATGTCTGTGTCTGCTTAAAAGACTCAACAACACTGTGTCTGCTTAATAGCTGACGCGAAAAAGTGTTGGCAAGAAAGTAAGTAAAGTGTTTGGTTAATTGACATCGGGAATAACGGAAATGAAATTCGCATCTATTATATATCAACTCCAGGCAATTGGCGTCCGGTGTTTGTAATTGTCAACGCAATGTTCTGTTAAAGCAACATATGAAAGTGTTTTAAACAATTTAAATCCAGCGAAAACATCCATTACACATGAAGTGATTTCGATGGCAGGTACATGTTGAAGTATTATGTCGTTTCTATATTTTTCCCTCGTAAGATGAACCATGTAAGTAATACACCCACGTGAATATCATGAATGTTTCATGTTAGTGGAGCGACACTTCAAGGTTAATTATTCTAACCGTGACCCAAAGTCTCCGTAAGAACTCGTCTTTGACGTCATACAAACAGGAAGTAATCAGTCAAATATCTTCACATTACACGTAAGTGAAACGTAATGAACAAATGATAGCTATATTGTTTTGGGGCCCTTGTGCTTATCCATTCTCACGACCATCTAATGGCATAAGTGATTTTCAACGGTTCAGTCAAATCATTTCCACCGCCTTATGAAATTTGTTCCATTTATGTTAATTGCAATCAGCCATAGCCTTAACTCACGTGGCTGCAGTAACAGAGCAACATGCCATGGAGCTTCCGAAACTTTATGGATAGGCTTTGGGAAATGGATACTGATCCTTAAGAAGTGTCAAAAACCTTTGACCCCTTTGTAGAATGCAAATACTTACGCGAGGTTCTTTCCACGCTGATGTGTTACGTGCATGGTGACTGCTGGAAAGCTAATATCAATAATGTCTCATCTCACTTGTTGTGTTTGGTTGCCCAGCTGATAATTTGGGGTTCGAATCATGCATTCGCTTTGACCCTGATCATTCGTTTTTCAGTGTTATCTTTTACCAGCGGCACTTAATGACAATGAAATACAACTGAATGATGTATGCAACAAAACCAACATATAACACGTAGGCATTGCAGGATGTCCTTTGTGAAATAGACGTAGTTCAAATTACCAAAGTTGAGGAAGTGGGGAAGTGGGGTCTAACGGTGTTTGACTGGGCACTGTGTTACATTATACGTTGCTTGAAAGAAAACTAAAACCGACATTTGATGGTAATGGTTCACTTCATTTCAGTTGAATAACCACATATAGACCCGATCGTGTATTCACTATAATGGCACATATAAAAGATATTCGTTATAATTTGTATCGTCATTGTTCATGCAATCTACTCAGGGATATGTAGTAATCACGAGGGTTATATGTCGTGAGGTAGGAAGGCGCTACATACATATTTCTTCAATCTGCAATAGAAGTCTTTGAAAGAAGTCAATCAAACGGGAACTTCAATACGCAGGCTACTTCGTTATTTCATGTCTCTTGTTTTTCGAAGGAAATAACAAGGATCACGTTTTAAAGAAATTGAATTGGTTAATTAAAAAAATGTTCAATTGGAGGTTTTCACGTTGCCATTAGAAACTATACCCAAAAAACGCAACTCTAGAAACATCTCCATGTAATGGGTGGACCGTTGTAGCCTGACAATAATGGCACCACATGGTCGCGACACAATACACACGGTGAAATTCACGTACCCTAAAAACTTGTCATTGACTTGACGATATGACACGACAGCCTCATATAATATTTATTTATGCAAGGAGAGTATATCTAGTATAAAAAAGATAATTGCCGCAAGGTCTTGTTTCACAGACTTTTGTGGAAATTGTGTACCTGTTCATATCCCAGCCGCGATATTGCTGGAATATTGCTAAAAGCGGCGTAAAACCATGTTCTCTCACTCCTGTTCATATCTTTCAAACAATGCGTAAATCACAAACAATGCAACCAATGCCAAACTAAAATACTTTACCAACCACAACTTTACACCACTTGAGTATTTACTGATTGCGAGCGGCAGTCATAGATTAGCTACTGTTTGACACTTTTCAACGGACTGACTGACTGACTGAGTTTGGTTTGACGCCACTTTTAGCAGTATTCCAGCAACATCACGGCGGAGGACACCAGAAATGGGCTTCACACATTGTGCCCATGTGGGGATTCGAACCCGGGTCTTCGACGTGACGAGCCAACACTTTAACCATTAGGCTACCCCACCGCCCCCTTTTCAAAGGATCAGTACCAGTGATACTAGTGGCGTAGTGCCCCGTAAGAATTCCACACGTTATCTGAGATTTCTAAATGCCGTTCTAAAACAGAATCGTGTTATACAGACCATGTTCACTTGTTTGGTCATTGTATAATGACTCTAGCAGACATAAGTCCATTAGTTCCCTGTCCGTGTCAGTTGGGATAAAAGATGAATCTACAGAAGACACGAACCATGGTGTGCACCATGGCCAACCACCACTCAAACTACATATTAAATCACTGCATCGTTCCTAAACAGTTCCCTAGTACTCGGTACTCGCATGTGTATCAAACATACTTTGTTTCAGCCAACAAACCTCACACGTATGTTAACATCACGTTGGCTTATAACATAAGTCGGTGCATTCACGAAATATGTTCATTAAAATCAGATGTTGTTGACCGGTGCATTGGTACAAATGAAAAGTCAAACTACCGCATCTTTGATAGAATTGTATGCATGGGTCATAATGTATCCTTGCTCTGGATAGGATAGCCCTGGATTCTATAGCATTCTGCTGGTTTCTTTCACCAGTGTAAAGACGTTTAGGAAGCTAGATAACCTTCTTCATGAAGACTACACGCCGTTATGCAAGTAAAATGCAGTTCAAAGCGACATAACATCCAACTCTAAGATGCAAAGTGACATGAGAGACATGTTACCTCATTCCGTTCAACAGCTTTAAATTGTGCTGTGCAGTGGTTAAGTGACCACAGACATTTTCCCTTCCAACTAAACCCTGTCCTATTATAGCTATTTTGGAATATGTTGGATTACTACATTATCGTAACACTTGGCATGAAATCACGCTTGGCGTTTCAATAAAATATAAAGACTTGAACAAACTGCAGAACTAAAAACTATGCGGAATTATTCATTCCGTCCACCACAAGCGTATGAAACTACTTACCATCAGACCTGACTAATGCGGGTTACATAGAATTGTAAACGACTTAAAATTAACAACGATCATGATACACATGTCTCGATCTGGACTATGGATCGACAATGAGCCAAATCGCTAGGATGTAGCTAGTTGAATACCCATAAGTACGAAAGGAACATCCGTGAAGACCCTTCTCTTTCCTGTGGTTCGATACGCGAGGATACTGCTCATTACTTCGTCACATATATTACTCACGTGGTCGACATACTAATCTCGTACGTCATACAAGTGTCGTATCGCGTTGACCTGTGCCGTAACGACCTGACCTGACATTCTAACGATTTGACTGAATAACCGATAACCTCTCAATTAGGTCACGTTGCGACGGAACTGCTTTTTCATTTATAACAAACACGTGAATTCATTCATTCTGCAACTTATAATACACGTTATAATAGTTCTTGGCAAATGTGTACTTTATTACACTATGCATGGGGGTAGAGCGAACTGTATTTATTTTCTAAGATGCGAAATTTAATACTTTACGACGATTAATCAAAGGCAGAAAAAAATGAATAGGGATGGTGTCGGTGACCTTAATTAACAAGGCCACCTGACGCGCTGTTCTCGTGACGTGTCTGTCCCGACGTTATGGCGCACGTTATTTTAAACAGTCTGATGACAGTTTACGTCCAGGATAAATATCTTATCTAGGTTATTTTAATTACAACTGCCATTAACGTAAACCATAGTCTCATTTCTACTACCAATGTCAGTTTAGATTAGTACATGGAGATGAAGCTGTCTAGTCACGCGACATTCCACTGATGCATTGGAATGGGAATGTAAAGATTGTCTAATTGTGAGTCGAATTGAGACATTATATCCGTCGAAAAACATTGCCGCAATTTTTCCACCAGTGATGTTAACCGAATGAAGCAACTGCAAAGCAAGAAACGGGGTGCTACGGATTAGTTTACTGTAGGAGGCTGTACGAGGCGATGACAACTGACAGGCATCGTGACGTTGGACGAGAATGGCATAGTGACGGCAATACAGTGTGACGTCATGCAAAAAGTGTACTACAAAACAAAATTCTTCCGCAACCTCTTTATGAAACCGTTTTCGGTTTGAAGCCATGAAACTAAACATAATACGCTATTTTGTCAATTTCATGCATGTAAGATGTGGGCAATAAGTGAAATGCCACACTCGGTCTCATTACATACGGTCAGACACCATAGGAAGGACACTCGTTTCGTATAATTCGTATGTAACGAGACCTCGGGTAGTATTCTCTATATCCAAATTATATCACTATGGGATCAAATGCATACTTCTATTCCATGGAATTTAACCTAACTTTTGCACTGTATGGAAATTCCCTAGAATCCGCGATCGTCAGTCAAACTCTGTTGGTATCGTTTCATGATTTCATTAAACAGAAAAAACGATTTAAATTGATCAATAAATCGTATTTGAAAATATAGCTTCTTCTTCATATCCGACACACCTCCATCATTTATACTATTATCTATTTCCTTCTATCTATTACGCTTTGACTGTTCTATTTTTCATTTGTGATTTGTGCGTTGCTTGAGCGATAGTTATGTAAGGCGCAAGGCTTGTTTATCCATACACAAGTTCCAAAAAATAACATGTTCAAACTAATGAATGTACATCTGTAGATAAAATCGAAGGTATAAGTACGCATAATGGTGACACTTTGTGGTCGATTACAAATGCAGCACATGCACACGTCTACCATGACAATGGAACAGCCTTCGTGAGGGTTACAGTAAGGTATCTTACTTTTCCTTATATCTGATAACCAACTGTCCTGTAAAATATACATATCGACAGCTAATTAAAATATACTAATACCTGTACGAATCTTCTCGATACCCAATTAAGATAGCATGCGTCCGATTCAAGAATACCAACATGACCCTGGTCATACATGTGAAATGACTGCTTCTCCACAGGAACTCACCCTGGTCATACGTTACAATGACTGCTACCAGACACAGGAACTGATCCTGACAAACCAAATCAATGCTACCAGACACAGGAACTGATCCTGACAAACCAAATCAATGCTACCAGACACGGGAAGTAGCCAGTAAGTGTGACTGGATTTGTTCTTCCGGTTAACAGAACAGCTTGATGTGGTTTGTAAAATAAATAAAGTGTTTTGAGATGGTAAATGCTACAGGACATCAGTTAACAGTAATCTTGTGTGTGGCATGATGTCTGGATGATGTATGACGAATATATTTTACTTAACTGCATTGCGAGACCAGAACGAACTGTCAATAACACAACTGTCGGACCTTATGCATTTCATATGCATGTATCGTTTTGCCAATAACACATCGAACGTTGTTTATGCAGATTCCCTGAGGCGGTTCTCTATCATAAACGTATCCCTTTGAGACACTTCACACTTTAGCCTTTTTAAATTCATTTTAAGATGTCTTCGTATGCATTTGTTTTGTAATACTCGATCGTAATGTGAAAAAGATACGTTCCAGGACATTTAACTTGATGTGTTTGGTCCGTTTCTAGTAATATCTATGCATGATTCATAAAGTTTATGAAAGTTGGTAAGAAATACTTTCATTCCCGTGTATAGACGACTCTTTTTTTTGCAATATTCTCCTCGTGTTTACACCAGGGATACGATAGAAACACAGCAAACATGAACCTAAACTAATGTTATGAATACTTTATTTAATCTCGATCCTTATCGTGTATATGAACAGATATCTCATATTTACATATTGTGAAAAATCATCCATACATTATAAATGGATATAACAAGTTTTAAACCGTTTCTTTGAACACATTTTCACAGTCTCCTGACATTCCTTGCTTATCACAATACAAAGATACAGCAAATTTCGTACTTGAAGTCGGGTATGATTGAAAAGAAAAGCCTGACTAGAGAGTCTGTAATCTATCTTTCCTGACTGACATGCTTTCTCGCCATAACGTTCGTTGCAGTGAATCATTGCAAACAACTTAGTGTACCATTTTGAATTATAAAAACACAAGTTGGACATATACAGTTCACTTTTTTTTTAAATTGACGAGCTGCTTCCCTTGCCCCAGCGAATCGGACGTGGAGATCTTAGCGCAGTATGTAGCCGTCATGTCGTGACGTTGTGACCCTGGGGGCAACCACTGCGTTGGTTCTGTTGTTGGTGCCGCTGATTCAGACGTTGCATGGTGCTCACAAGGCATTCCGAGGCATTTGCGATGACGTAAGGTCGTTGCTCGGCGTCCAGACGTCGAATCAGACTGGTCAGCGTTCAGTCGTGTCATGGCAGCCTGTTATTGTCAGGTGCCTGTCATACTTGGAGCCACCATGAGGTGCACGTTCATTTCAACAATGTCCAACGATCCTCGACACGGCGGCGCTTTTGAAAACATTTAAAGACAAAATCACCAGGTATTTGGCTGAATTGCAATACCAATAGTTCAACATGATGCCACATAACTTATTCCTAGAGGAGGCTTCAAACTACACATTCGGGCCATCAGCATCTGACCAAGGACTTTTCTCCTGCGGCTCTGTATATACACCAAAAACTAGGGCAAAAATGCATTTGTACGTATCAGATGTGCGGCTGTAAGTACCAAATAAGTATTACTGAAGCATGTGTGGTAATTTGCTGAAATGGTCGTGAAAAATGGACAAAGGACATTAATGCATTCGACTATATCTGGTAACCTCCATTGTTGATTCACCTGCAAAGACAGTAATGCCAAACGTATCTTGTTAAACCCTCAAGACTACCTCACAGTGCACATTGCATTATCGTTGTAAGAGTTAACAATGTATGTTCTATATTTCTACTTTAAGTGACTAGCATCTGACCAGCTTAATCTCTATGTGTTTTATATCAGTTGAGTGACAGGTTGATATGAACTCTACTCAGGTTGTCAGGTTATTACACTCAGTTTTAAATTAGGTGAAAAACCCTCCTCCACTTCCCTCATTACGCTCAATTAGATGTAGTAATCCATCAAATACGTATTTATGCCACTTTAACCTTTGCGACGGTACCAGTATGTTCTTTAGTCAAGGAGCCATGTTGTAACATCTGCAGCATGGGCGGATCCGGGGGGTCAGGGGGTTCGAACCCCCCCTTTTGAAAATGACTTAAGACCACATTGAAATTTTTTCTTGCGTTGGCGGAGCCAAGTTGGGGTTCAGATGCACAGTCTGCGAATAAGAAAATGGGTTTGTAATAAAACTCAACTTTGCATATTTAGCAGGCAGTGCATTGCACTTACAGATTTGTGTTCTTGGAACGAGCATGCTCAGGTGGTCATGCTAGTAGCCCAGGTTATTTCTGACTTTCTCATCTGCACCGTGACAAATGGCGAAAATCCGCTTTCTAAATGTAAACCGTCGTACTGCTTTCCTGTCTCTCTCTTCCCAGCTTTCGGAGTTGGCTACAGCTGTTCTCCACTTTGCCTGTTGCATAGCCATGGTACAAGAATGTCAAGAATGCATAGGAGATGTATGTAAATGTGCTAGCTGTGTGGTTCTTAAAATAATACACCAATACACTAAGCATTGTAACAATTTCAAAACGTCCTCCCGTGCAATTAGAGGCCCCAAAAAATGTTTCCTGGACTCTTTTTCCTAGTACAGAGTATCCCTGACCACAGCTTCTTCCATAAAGAAGGAATAATCACACCATGTCTTTTCACTGCAAGTTTACATTCAATTTGTGAATGTAGTGACACGTGAGATTTTGTTTGTCATCTGAGATGAATATATTAGGTATACACAGTCTACACAGACTAAAACGCTTGCTCTCCCCCAGTAACGATACTGGATTTCTCCTTTCTTAATAGTTTCTAATTGGCCTCTTGTAAGAAGATACTCCTTGATCCATATGTTGCCACTCGTCCTTCTGGATAATTGCTTTTCTTCTTACCGGTTTCGTCTTCTTCTGCTTTGGGGTCGATTAATAATAATGTCATCTGAGTCATTACCTAAAAACATAACCAATCGTCAAGGCGTAAAATGTCAGCACGAGTAAAACATGAAAGCTAGAATCAATTACAACCTGTTTATCCATTGAATAATAATACAATGTTGTTCGTGTGAGACCAATATGATATGGGCATTGAACTTTGTATCGTGATGCTGATCGAGATTTTCATCAAACTTGACACATATCGACGGTGCATTCTTTCAGGTATTGTCTGTGAGTGAGTGAGTGAGTTAAAATTTAAAGTAACATCGGCAATATTTCAGCCATATCGTGACTAAAACTAGTTCTAAATTTATAATACATACAGATAATATATAAAACCCTGTCAACGAAGGACAGTAAAACCACTAGATTATCACAAAATGAGTTAAAACTAGCTAGCATATAACTTTAAAAGAAGTAAAATGGGCCAGTAAAAGACGAAAACCATGGGACCATGGGGACTTACAGTGCCTTTGCTACCTGCATGGACCCTAGCTGGATTTACACCATCCCTTCATCCATTGGCGTTTATACTGAGATTTAGCCATACATTAAAATAACAAAAATACTACGATTAAAACCTGGTACACTTAAATTGACTAAATGTTTTAGGAGTTACGTACCGTATTGTCTGTGTGTATAAGTTTGGACCAGTAATGATAAGAAAGAACCGTCTCTCATAAATGATACTTATAACTTATAATTTCATTACATTTACTTCCTCGATCCCTTGAACGCAACTGACATGCATCTGATTGAACGACCACACGAAACATGGTGTAATATCATCTGAAAGAAATAATATCCAGTCGACATTTGGGCAACATTGTTTCTTGTTGGAAAGTGAGTACTGGTTCCAATATTGATATGCAGGAATCTATGTAGCTTTTCATGGATACATCACTTCGCATCTTTTGTGATTTCAAGAAAATGTACATTGAAAAAAGGGTTCGAAAGCAAATCGACCCACAGTGATACCTATGGATTTACAGTAGTTAAGTGAAATGCAAATGTATATCTTTAAACAGTAATGTCAACCCAGAGATGGTTATTGATGATTAGTATTCAAACATTGGATTTTCACAATGTTTTAAACTTTAAGGTAGTATCATATTGAATTGTCCTTCCATAAATCTATCAGTATCTTGACTGCCATGAGAGAATGTATCATAAGAAATATTTGTAAAAACATATGAAGAAATCTACTCATGGAACTATGAGTGAACAAAATGA